AGGAGCATCTTAACATCTTGGCCTGCCCTGAGAGGGGTGCCCCTGGAGACCATCTGCGCCGCGGCGTCGTGGGCGTCTTCTTGCACACTCTCCAGGTTTTATCGGGTTAATGTCGCCACTCCCCATCCTTTGGTCCTTTTGCTGAGCTCCGCTGCTTCCATTAGTGAGCAAGGGCTTGGACCTGATGTAGGTGCAGCAGGGGTGGTAGGGAGGGAGGGACAGCAGGGGTGGATGGGAAAAAAAGAAGGGGGAGAAGGGAAATTAGTTTTTCTCGCGCGCACAAGAAAGTATCTCGTGGGCACGAGAAAGATTCTATAGGGGGGGGGGGGGGGCTAGTGAACTGTCAACGTGGGGGGAGCCTCGCTGCGGGGAAACGGTGGACCTCTGTCACCTGTCAGCGCCACTTCAATGATGCCGTTTAAAAACATAAAAATGTAAGGGCGGTGCCGGCCGCCAGCGAACCGAGCCGGCCGTCAACGGCCCTTGGCGACCGGCCGTTCTGTGATTCTCCAGATTCTACAGATGGCCAGTCCGCCCCACACACACCTCTACACACATCGAACTGCCCAATTACTCCCCCTTTTATTAGTTTTATGAAGAAGATGTCCGGTCACCAGGGTGCATGATGTGAGTCTGTTTGTGCTCTGCTCAGCTCTGCTCTGTGTGTGTGTTCTGAGTGTTTGTTTCCCTTTCAACCAGCTGCGGGCAGAAGGTCCGTGACTCTGAGAGTCACGGACATTAATTCATAGATCAAAGCAGACTGGTTTACAAACTCTCCTGTTTTGCCTATCCGGTGCTTCAACAAATAGCTCCACACCCCTGGCCGAAATAGAGAACCGCAGTGACGCGTCCTAAAACCCGGAAGTAAACTCCTTCCGGTTCCTTCGTCAAAAACCAATGCAATTTCTCCATAGGATTTAGGAAAATAGCTGGAAATAAGGTCTGTGGTTGAGACACATTTAAGAGACGGATCACGTTTTGTTCAGCCGGATAATCTCCACATGTCTACCCTACTTTTATAATTTTCTAATCATAAATCTAGTCGCCAGAAGCAAAATGCTAACGTTATGCTATAAACGAACTACAGCAGGGTCGCTGCTTCAACGTCACGCCAACTTAAGATCCATATTCAAAACTATAGATTCAAAATTGTACAAGTTGAAGCGTTTGTTTGAACACTTTTCAGGAGGCAGGGACTTGCTTTCAAGCAGAACAGGGCAAACTAACTTAGCGGGAGTGTTTACGTGTTCGGTGTAATGATGTAAAATGGCCTCCACTACATCTGTAGTCCTATTCAGCCACATGTTAACAACCATCGTTTTTTCAGACACGTAAACTCTTCAAAAATCACCAGCAGGGTCACTGCTGATGGATTTAATGTCGTAGAACAAAACGTGATCTGTCTCTTCCATTTGTGTCAAACACAGACCTTATTTACAGATATTTTCCAAAATCCTATGGAGAAATTGCATTGCTTTTTGTCGAAGGAACCGGAAGTGGTACAAATGCTAACTTACTTCCGGGTTTTAGGACGCGTCACTGCAGTTCTCTATGTCCATAAAATCAAGACTGAGTTCGAAATATATCTCAAATAATGACTGTAGTTCCTGTCTGCTGTGTTTCAGCTTCACTCAGAGAAAACATGGCTTCCAGGTTAGAGGAAGATCTCTGCAGTCTGCACTCTGAGAAACTCAAACTCTTCTGTCTGGACCATCAGCAGCCAGTGTGTCTCGTCTGCAGAGATTCAAAAACACACATCAACCACAGATTCAGACCCATCGATGAAGCTGCACAGGATCTCAGAGAGGAGCTCCAGAAATCTCTGCAGGAGAAACTGAAGCTCTTTGAAGAAGTTAAAGAGAAGTTTGATCAAACAGCAGGACACATGAAGGTCCAGGCTCAACACACAGGGACGCAGAACCTGTTAAACCCCATGCCCCCGCCCCTGGGGGCAAAACACAACAATTTTCACGAAACTGTGTCGCAGGGCTTCTTAACATTTAACAACCTATTAATGTGTTATAGCTACTTAACGGGAAAAAAACTCAGCTAACTGACGATATGAACAATTTTTACCTAAACAAAACACAACTCAAACGCAAAGCCTCTAAATTAGCACCAAGCGAAAGGGTGTTAACGCACTTAGAACATAACTCACGGTAGCGATCTTTTATACTTCATGCAATCTGCACAAACTAGATAGCATATGAAAGCTGATATTCCACAGATTCCAAAGGTATACGTTTCATCACTGTGTGACCATAACTCACGGCAGCGAAGGCAAGCAAAGACAACACACAACTTCACTTTACGGGGCCAAAACGGCAAATATGTCTTACCTTTGCTGTTTTCTGATCAAAAGTTGTGTTCAATGGCATTAAAACGCATAAAAACGCTGCTGAAGGTCAATCCAATGTCTCTGTGTCACTTTGAAATGATTACTGATAATCCATCATAGCATTTATGTCAAAAACTGAGTTTTCATATAGAGTGTATGAGAGCTACAACCCAGCTTCTGGTTTTGGGCATGCTGGCTGTGCATCACTCTCATTCACCAATGGTAATGTTTAGATGGATTTAGGACTTCCGCTCGATTCTATTGGCTCTAACGGTTCAAAAGAGGTGTCAATCACCAAAATCGACCGATGGGTTCCAGAGATATGGCAAATCCACCCAAATGACCCCAGAAGTGGGTTTTTTTCTAAACCTCTCTAAAAAAGTTCAAATGTCACTTATTTTGCATCAATCTTGATACAGGGTACTTATTATATGTTATAGGTTGGATTCCTAAAGCTTTTTGTCTACTATCCCATCATTCAAGGGTGGTTTTCACTATAAGTAATGGGTTTTCTTTGGACGGAAACTATCATTAAAAATATTTTACTATGTTCTATCTGAATTTACTTTAAAATAAAAACATCTATATTGATTCTGACTTTTCTACATCCAACTCACAGGTTTATCATTACTTTGAGAAAAAAGATTATTAATTTACCCCTTTTAGAAGTGAAGATATAGTCATTTGTTCTGGGCATGTCATTTTCGAGCCTGAGACCTGAAAAACAGGCTTGGGGCTTAACAGGTTAAGGAGCAGTTTAAGAAGCTTCACCAGTTTCTAGAAGAGGAAGAGGAGGTCAGGATGGCTGCACTGAGGGAGGAAGAGGAGGAGAAGAGGAGGATGATGGAGGAGAAGATAGAGGCTGTGAGCAGAGAGATAGCAGCTCTTTCACACACAGTCAGAGCCACAGAGGAGGAGCTGAGAGCTGAAGACGTCTCCTTCCTGCACAACTACAAGGCTGCAGTGGAGAGGCTGCAGCGCCCCCTGCTGGAGGATCCACAGCTGCCCTCAGGAGCTCTGATAGACCAGGCCAAACACCTGGGCAACCTCAGCTTCAACATCTGGATCAAGATGAAGGACATGGTGTCCTACACTCCTCTCATCCTGGACCCAAACACTGCTGATCCAAACCTCTTCCTGTCTGAAGATCTGACCAGAGTGAGAGCAGGAGGAGGGAGACAGAAACTTCCTGATAATCCAGAGAGGTTTGATAAACACCTCTTTGTCCTGAGCTGTGAGGGCTTTAATTCAGGGACTCACAGCTGGGATGTCCAGGTTACAGACTCTACGGACTGGTTACTGGGTGTGTTAGCAGAGTCTGTCCAGAGGAAGGGAGTCATACCGTCTGGATTATGGAGAATAAGTTTCTATAAAGGTAAATACTCAGCATGGTCACCACCAGATCCAGACACTGATCTCAGCCTGAAGAAGGAGCTCCAGAGGGTCAGAGTGGATCTGGACTGGAACAGAGGAAAGTTGTCGTTCTCTGATCCTGACACTAACACAAACATACACACCTTCACACACACTTTCACTGAGAAGATGTATCCATACATCAGCACTGTGGGTGAAGTGAAGATATTACCACTGAAGGTGTGTGTGACAGTGGATCAGACCAGGTAGAGATAAACAGGATCATTATATCTATGCTTAAAGCAGGCATGCACAAACTTTTTTGAAAGAGGGCTGGATTTGATAATGTGAATATGCCCGGGGGCCAATAGTCCCTTCTGACATTTTTTAAACATAAAACAAAATTACAAATACACTGTCATTGTTACAATTATCTTTATTTTATTCAAATGTTTATATAACTAAATATAAGCCACTAAGGCAGGCGTGAACAACTCTAAAAACACGCTCTTTCAATAATATCTGGAGAGTCAGATAACATTGAACAGACGTCAGACAATCTGGAATATCTTTAACTTTGAAGCAGGTTTGACATATTTCTTTATAAAGTGGTGTGTCAGAATCAGGTCAGACAAATAATAATCTCAAATATTCAACAGATATTGTTCAGTCGAACCAAACACAAATGAATTAATTCTGGAAATATCTCCTCCATCACCGAATTCAATACGAAATAAATCACACATCAATTTCCATTTTGGTCAGATATATTTCATGAGGAAAAACAAGACATGTGAGATCAGTGTGTGAATAAAAGAGTGTTTACAGTTCAGAGGGCTGGACTTTGGACGTTCCTGTCTCAAAGGGAAAATACACTGACCTCGGCTGTCTCTTTATTCTAAACATGTTTATTTTGGATTCACTAATGTTGTTGTTATTGAGTGAGATAATCTGCTTTTTGATTATACTGTCAACCTTTATTAAATTGAAACACGTGAATTTAGCCAACACTTTTATCCAAGTAACATCATGTTCATCAAATATGCTGAACTGCTTCCTTTAGAGGAAATAATTGATGTATATATTCTTTACATTTTAAATGATCTCACCCAGATTCAGATCTTTATGTCAGGTTATTGTTCAACCTTCTCTGTTTTATTGAAACTATGTCATTATAAATTGTTCATTTGTGATTTGTGCATGATGGGAAAACCAATAAATAATATGTTTAATCCAACTGCAAGTTTGAGCAGCGAATCATTTATCAGATCCAAAGTAAAATGCATTTTAATTTCAGGTCCAGACAATATTGTTTTTAAAATGTTGAAATCAAAGTTTTATTACATGACATTTTTACATTTTAAACTTTTATAATCATATAAAACATACAGAGTTACTGGGTTTAAATTAACTCCCGGACAGACCTCTTCGTCAGGGAATAAAATAAATGTTTTAAAGAGATTTCTAAGTATTTAAATACAGAGTAAATGTTAAACACAGTTTTCCCAGGAGAAGCCTAGAGAGGACGACCCATTGCTGTTCAGCGTGGATTATCAAATGCACACGTTTATTAACTCTAAAGGATTTCATCTCAATCTAAAATACTGATTTCTTGGCAGCGGTGTGTTATCGAGTATTAACGTCTTAAACTTCTAATTTGACCAATCAGAATTTAGTATTCAGCTAAAATGTTTAATAAAATATAATAATATATAGTAAAGTCAAATATATATTGGAGTAGATAAAGTAATGTGTGCACTACATGAATATATAAAAACATGTATGTTACAATAGAGTTGTGCATTGATATTAATAATGATGTCACTCAGATTATTAAAGCAGCAACAATCACATTTAATGAGAAAAGAGCAAACAGATGTTACAATGCTGTCAAATAATAAACAAACTAACATTTATGATTAAATCAGTTTCACAAGAACAGAGGATTCTTCAGACTGAAAACAAGTTGCTTCTTTTCCTCATTTTATTCAAACAGTGTAATAATAATACCTTTAATAGCAGCACATTAACACAACAAGCTGTTTAGATGGACTCAGTGTGAATGCGTTGGTGGGCACTCAGCGCACCACTCGAAATAAAGGTTTTCTCACACTGCTCACACCAGTAGGGTTTCTCTCCGGTGTGAAGGCGTCGGTGGATCTGTAGGCTGTAGGCCCGAGCGAAGGTCTTCCCACAAAGGTCACACCAGTACGGTTTCTCTCCAGTGTGAGTACGCTGGTGACGATTTAGTGCACATAGCCTCGGGAAAGCTTTTCCACATTGGTTGCAGCTGTGTGGTTTCTCTCCAGAATGAATACGTCTGTGTTTCTTCAGGTCACTATGGGTGGCGAAAGATTTCTCACATTGGTCACAGCTGAATGGTTTCTCTCCAGTGTGAATGTAATTGTGAGTTTTCAAATGAACTTTTTTGGAGAAAGCCACCCCACATTGGTCGCAGCTATATGGTTTCTCTCCAGTATGAATGACATAATGGGCTCTTAAATCATCAGCTAATGAAAAAGCTTTCCCACATTGGCCACAGATGTGTGGTTTCTCTCCAGTGTGGGATATTTTATGTCTGTTGAGGTGACACTTCTGTTTGAAAGATTTCCCACATTGGTCACAGCTGTAGGGTTTCTCTCCGGTGTGAACTCTCTGGTGAATCAATAGATATTGAGACGTTGCAAAGGACTTGTCACAGTGCTGACAGCTGTGACTTTGGGGACCCTCTCTTGTTCTCGGTTTCTAAAGAAAACAGACAGAGAGAGACTCAGTTAGGTGCCAGAAATAACATTTAGAAAATGTCAGTGTAATATGACCATGGATGTATAATAAGAACTGGATACAGCTCGTTCGATCCTATGAGAGTTGCTCATTGGTGCAGTAAGCCAAAATGGCCCGTTCTCGAGAGCAAATCGTCAAACAAATTACCCATCATGCCTTGCTGTCGAGAGCATGCGCAGTTGAGTTTCCCCGTAAGCCCCGCCCACGGTCTCCCACCCAGTAGAATGAATGGAGAGAAGATACATTTGGATTCAGCTTTAAAAACATTTGACAACTTTTAAAACCTAATGATTCAAATAAGCGCTATAAAAGTGTTGTAGTACCAGCGACTACCAATATTTGCATAAGCGAACCGTGCTGTAGTTCCTTTTTAGCCCAACATTAGCCCCCTTTAGCTTAGCGGTGGTGACGTGAAGTCATGTGGCCGTGCTGTAGTTCCTTTATAGGCCAACATTAGCCACCTTTAGCTTAGCGGTGGCGACGTGAAGTCATGTGACCATGCTGTAGTTCTTTTATAGGCCAACATTAGCCACCTTTAGCTTAGCGGTGGTGACGTGAAGTCATGTGACCGTGCTGTAGTTCCTTTATAGCCCAACATTAGCCACCTTTAGCTTAGCGGTGGTGACGTGAAGTCATGTGACCATGCTGTAGTTCTTTTATAGGCCAACATTAGCCACCTTTAGCTTAGCGGTGGCGACGTGAAGTCATGTGACCGTGCTGTAGTTCCTTTATAGCCCAACTTTTACATCAGAAATCATAAATGGGGCGAAGCCTGCGAGCTAGTTCAGGCAGTCAACTCGAGCACTTATGCTGCATTCATACATAACGCCCCTTGCCACTCTACAACCAATCAAAGAGAGTCTCCTTAATATGCCGCTCTATTTAACCTGCCAGATATCTCTCTATGCATTGCTTGCTGCTGCTTTGGTGCAGCTACTCTACGTCGCTGCTGCTTGCCTGCCGGTGCTGTCCTTGCAAATGTCTATTGCAATCTCCGACTCTGGAACCGAATCACCATACGCAAGAAGCCGTAAGAAATGCCTCATTCCCGAAACACAGGCTAGCTCAGAGCATGGTTCAGACGCCGCTGGAACGAGCCACAGCTCCTGCACGACACACATCCGGGTGTCCCTTCCGTCCTCATCTGGAGTAGCTTTTAATATCCTTTGGGCCAGAGGAAGTCCCGAGTTCTACGCCAACACTGGTAACAACCCATCTCTTGTGTGTCAGCTAAGAGTCGCACTGTCTCTCGGTCGGCGGGTATTTAAACACCAAAAAAGGCAGGAGCAAGCTGACTCCGGCATTCCCAAAGTACCTGCCATCCTGTCCTACCTTCTCGAAGTTAAATCAGCGCTTGAAGCCTTTAATTCCACGATATATTCCCTTGAACAAACTCGATTTCCTCTGCCTGCAATGTAAACAAATGTTTACTGTTAAAACCTGCACTCAAGACTGAAGTTTGCACCGAAGGAGCCAGGAGTATTACACGTGCTGCTATTTAAACGTTTAGAAACATGACAGGCCCCTAGCCTAGTGCTAGGAGGAAATATTCTAGCAACGTTTCTTTATTGAGCCGTTAGTTCCTCACGATTATTCTGTCAAGAGTATTAAAGGTGGGGTAGGTAAGTTTGAGAAACCGGCTCGAGATACTTTTTGTTATATTCCATGGAATGCTCTTAACATCCCGATAGCAATGAATATCTGAAGTGCTTTGACAAAAAATCCATAAAAAATGTCATCTGTGGAAGCCGTAGTACTGTAAAAAGCACGACCAATCATCTGAGCCGGCCTGGCTAAAATTACCTGCCTGTCAGCCTTCCATCTGTGCACAAACTTATCTCGTGCCCTCATTGGTCATGTGCGCGTTCGTGTGTGTTGGAGGAGGGGCTCTGTAAGGAAGTGGCAGATTTTTTCCGGCTGTGTATTTTCAAATTCTAGCGAGCTGGTTTCTCCAAAATTACCTACCCCACCTTTAATGACTACTAAAGATTTTTCCCGTTTCTATGCTCTGTAGATGACATGGCAGGAATGACATAGATGAAAGCAGACATCACATATGCCTTCTGCGGCATATATATTTTAAGGTTTTATACTCAAATGTGCATGTGGTTGCCATAGTAGCCCACGTTTCTTTGACACCTCGTCAGAAGCATTATGCTGGATTCTCTACAACACCTGCAAGCACCCCTTGGTGTCCATCTTTTAACCATTTTATAGTAGTTTACTTTCCCAGTTAAAACCGTTTCAACAGCTGGGCCTACCTCTTTCAGAACAGGAACTGGAAGCCCTTCCACACGTCTAGAATTATCATCATTAGACATATGAAGAAGTTAAACTTTAAACATCCATGACTTAAACACTTTATCCAGGATAAAAGCCACATAGTTGCTGCTGCAAGGTGAATACTGCTGGTAAAAGAAAAAGTGTTTGAATACGTTCATTCAGTTTTATGATATCACTGCTGCCCCGTCTAAGACATGAGTGGATCTGACTTTAATTACATTTGACTCGAGTGTTTCGTCAACTTAATGTGTTGCTTAAAATAATACTTCTGCATACAGTATGTGACACTGTGAGTGTTGCACGGCCAGATACGGCTCAAGAAGCTGACTCAGATAAGGAAATATATGATGTGATATGATGTGATATGATATGAATGATAATGGAACACATCGACGTCTGCACTCACAGTGCCGCGGACTGTACTTAATGTTACTCTGATCCGGTTACTTATGTTGTGGCAGATATTTAAAGTGGACCTATCATGCTATATTTGAATAATATAGTGTAGGACCATACCTATATAAGGCATATTTATACTTTTTTTTTTTCAAAATACAAAACAGATCATGCATTTTAGCCATGCCTCATTTTGCTCAATTTGACATTTTTTAGCAAGGGCAGATTCAGTGAGAACAGCACCACCTAGAGGCCTGGCATATGTACTACAGCGTCTCCAGCGCTTTCGAACGGCAATGGCCGTGGCTGTCTCCTCCTGATTGGTTGGCCCAATAGCCGTAGCGCCACTGTCCTGACGTCAGAACAGTGTTCAAATCTGGATCAGTTTTTATCAGATCCGTTGCAGCCCTTTTTTTTTAGAGATTTGGGTATGGAGGAAAATAGAGAGGGTTGTGTTTTCTGACACTTGGTGAGTTCCCTGGAACACCGGGGACACATATTCATGTATAAAAGACGTACAAAAGTGCATTTTGCATGATAGGTCCCCTTTAAGTAAGCTTTCTTAACGCTAATGTTATAATAGTCAGGTTGCTCTGAAGATGGGAGGTGATATTCTATTCATTTTCACGTTCACACAGTCGGTGATGTTGGCCGGCCGTCTTTCCTGCAACGGCAGTTTAAACTGTATTTCCTTTCACCTGTCATATGAATTGATCGCTTAAACTCAGCACACTGAGCTCTGATTGGTCAGCAGGCAGTGCTTTTATCCTGGAACCTATCCTGCTCCGGAGGCTAGCCGTTCAGAATAAGTTATCTAGCCCGCTAAGAAGTGAACCAGCGTCGTAGGACCGGAAATCCAGGAAGTTAGCTCGCTAAGCGAAAATCCTGCTTTGTAGTATATGCCCCTGGGCGATGCTGCTGGATTTAAAATTAAAAGATTTAGCTTTCGGGACAATCTTGTCCAAAATGGGTCTATGTAAGGCTGTCTCTTTCACTCTGTGTCGTTTTTAACCTTCTTGCCAGAATATATCCCTTAACCTGTTAAGCCCCACCTGCAAGAAACAGCGTCTGAGGGCTTCTTAACATTTAAAAACCTATTAATGGGTCATACCCACTTAACGGGAATTCGACAGGTATTTGTATCATTACTGACCGATCCGAACTCGCGATAAGCTAATAATAATAATAATAATAATAATAATAATAATAATAATAATAATAATAATAATAATAATAATAAGCTAATAATAAAGATAAAATAAAAAAAAATAAAAAAAAATAAATAAAAAAAAAAAGCTAACAAAGACATCACACCACGTAGCCAACACGGCAATATGTCTTAAGGCCGCTACACACCCACCTGAGACCAAAGAACGCGTACCGAAGGCGTCCCGACTTTTACGTCAGCTTCGTCGCCTGCGTCGGCTACGTCGCCCACTACGCCACCCGCCTACGAACACACCGCAAATACTTCAGTCGACAAGTGGCAATAACTGTCCTTACCAGCAGGCAGCGGTAGTGTGAACAGCCAAGCAGAGTGATTGCTTGGGCCGACTTTCTCTGACCTCCCGCGGCCGATTCAACATGTTGAATCGGCCGCGTGAGGTCAGAGAAAGGTCAGAGAAAGTCGGGTGTGAAAAGGTGCCATAAAGAGACGACGGTGTGGGACACACAAACCTGAGTAGGGCGCCACGAATGCCCGACTGCCTCCGACAGCCTCTGACTCCCAAAATCGGGCTGGTGTGTCCGGGCCTTTACCGTTGTTGTTTTCTGATCAAAAGTTGTCTTCAATGGCATAGGTTAATCCAATGTGTCTGTGTCACTTTGAAATTATTTCTGATAATCAGAAGCGTAAGATAGGTTTCGCTTTGGACAAACTGCGTGCGCATAGCTCTCAATGGTAACGTGTGTGTGTATGTGGAAATTCCCCTTCGATTCAATTGGCTCTAACGGTTCTAAAGAGATGTCAATCATCAAAATCGATACACCCATTTTTTTTTTTTGTATTACATTGCATTTAGCTGACGCTTTTATCCAAAGCGACTTACAATAGTGCATTCGACCGGGAAGATACAAACTTGAAGAAAACAGAAGTACATCAGGTTTCATAGAGCCAAAACATTTCAAGTGCTACTCAGCTGGCTTTAGATAAGCCAGTCCTTTGTTAGTATATAAGTGCTTTGTTAGCAATTTCCACCCAAATGACCCCAGACGTGTTTTTTTTGTTGCTAAACCTCTCTTAAAAAGGTCAAATGTCACTTGTTTTGCATCAATCTTGATTCAGGGTACTTATATGTTATAGTTTGGATTCCTAAAGCTTTTAGTCTACTATCCCATCATTCAAGGGTAGTTTTCACTATAAGTAATGGTTTATTTTTGGACGGACACTATCATTTACATTTTTTTACTATGTTCAATCTGAATTTACTTTAAAATAGAAAAAATCTATATTGATTCTGACTTTTCTACATCCAACTCACAGGTTTATAATTTCAGTACAACAGAAACTTTGTTAGTCTCTATTGGTTACATTCTACCACAGTAGTAATAGTATAGAAGTACAAAACTCATTCGTCAGAGCGGCCAATTCTGGAACCATAAAGGCGTGTGTAAAACACATAACATTGAAAAACAACACATTTTACACTGCTGAGAGTAAACCAGTTTTATGCTGATTAAACCTGTTGGATAAGCTATTTTTTAAACCATTGTTGTCCATCTATAGAGGGAAAATGTTGTCAACAACTCATCAGTGCAGACAAAGGGGTAAAGACACTCATGGGCTTTGAGAACATGGCACCTTTAACCTCTTAAGCCCTGAGCCTGTTTTTCAGGTCTCAGGCTCGAAAATGACATTCCCAGAACAAATGACCATATCTTCCCTTCTAAAAGGGTTAAATTAATAATCTTTATTCTCAAAGTAATGATAAACCTGTGAGTTGGATGTATAAAAGTCAGAATCAATATAGATGTTTTTTATTTTAAAGAAAATTCAGATTTTACATGGTAAAAAACTGTAAATTATAGTGTCCGTCCAAAAATATTTTTTTTACTTATAGTGAAAACTACCCTTGGATGATGGGTTAGTAGACTAAAAGCTTTAGGAATCCAAAGTACAACATATAATAAGTACCCTGTATCAAGATTGATGCAAAACAAGTGAAATTTGACCTTTTTAGAGAGATTTAGCCAAAAACCCCCACTTCTGGGGTCATTTGGGTGGATTTGACCTATCTCTGGCCCCCCTTGCTCGATTTTGATGAATGAAATCTCTTTATAACCGCTAGAGCCAATGGAATCGAGGGAAAGTTATATACACACCAACACGTTAACAAATAAGGAGTGAGAGTGACGCGTTACCAAAACCGGAAGCTGCATACACTCTGGTGGCTACCATTAGCAGCTAACTTTTCCGCTCCGATTTTTACATAAAAAATGGAATTATGGATTATAAATAATTTTTTAAAAGGAACAGGTACATTATCAACCTATGGATCAACAGTTGTAGACATTTTTTTTTTTCGTTTTAATGCCATTGAACACGTCTTTTGACCTAATTGACAGCTACGGTGAGATGATCTGCCGTAAAAGCTCCGTAAAGGTACGTGTTGTGATGTCTGTGTTTGCTTCCCCTGTCGCAATTTAGGATCGCTCAGTGATGATACTATACCTAAATAATCAGTGGAGTCTCAGCTTTAATCGGCTATATTGTATGTGCAGCTACGATAAGTAATAAGGGTATCTTTATCTTGAATTGTGTGCCGCAGTGCGTTAGAATGTTTTCGCTCAGGGGTCATTTAGACCCTTCTTATGAGACTTGTGTTTTGTTTTGGTAAAAATGGTTCATATCTTCAGTTAGCTGAGATTCTTCCCGTTAATCTGGTGCTACACATTAATAGTTTCATAAATGTTAAGAAGCCCTGAGACATTATCTCGAAAACAAAAAGGTGGGAGGGGTCCAATGGGGGGACCGCCGTGCTTAACCTGTTCCACTCTGAGCCTGTTTTTCAGGTCTCAGGCTCGAAAATGACATTCCCAGAACAAATGACCATATCTTCCCTTCTAAAAGGGTTAAATTAATAATCTTTTCTCAAAGTAATGATAAACCTGTGAGTTGGATGTAGAAGTGTCAGAATCAATATAAATGTTTTTTATTTTAAAGAAAATTCAGATTTGACATAGTAAAAAACTGTAAATTATAGTGTCCGTCCAAAAATTATTTTTTACAGATAGTGAAAACTACCCTTGGATGATGGGTTAGTAGACTAAAAGCTTTAGGAATCAAAAGTACAACATATAATAAGTACCCTGTATCAAGATTGATGCAAAACAAGTGAAATTTGACCTTTTTAGAGAGATTTAGCCAAAAAACTGGGCCATCTGGGGTCATTTGGGTGGATTTGACCTATCTCTGGCCCCCCTTGCTCGATCTGGTTGGTTGACATACCCTTGTGACCGTTAGAGCCAATAGAATCGAAGGAGGAGACTTACATAGACACACATTGTAAAGAAAAAATGTTGCCGCTTCGCGTGTGGAAAGCGAAACTAAACTGGAGGAATGTCTCCTTCTGGAGTTTGGAAACTAAAACGCAGTTGTATTGCTTATGGATTATCAGAAATAATTTCAAAGAAGGCACAGACACATAGGATGAACCTATGGATTAACTGCAGCATCGTTTTTTTTATCGTTTTAATGCCATTGAAGACCACTTTTGACCAAGGTAAGCCATATTTACTGTTTAGCTTCTTGGCTCCACATGTGATGATGTACGCTTTCGTTGATAGCGTCGCGAATGTTTATCACTGAGTGTTGAGGTGGGCACCGTTAGATTCAGTGTCTCCAGGACACCAAAAAATAGTGTTTGGTTGTGCATCTAGGATAAGTAATAAGGGAGTTCTGAGTGAGTTTATGTGCCTTTGTAGGTTACGTTTTTTCGTCGAGGCTAATTCAGAGGCTGAGTGCTAGCATTGTGGGTTTTTTTTGAAAAAAAAAATTAAAAAGATCAGTTAGCTGAGTTTCTTCCCGTTACATGGATATAACACATTCATAGTTTTATTCAATATTAAGATTCCTTAGACGTTGTTTCCTGCAAATGACGCGTTTATCCGCCCGGTACCGGGGGGAAGGCGTGAAACAGGTTAAGTGGTTAAAGAGGCGTGTGATGTCTCTTTCAGATGTATATTGTTATTTGCATTAGGGCTGTGCAATTAATCGTATTTTAAACGCAATTACGATTTTGGCCTGCCACAATTACAAAAACAACATAATCGAAAAAAACTATTATTTAGCTTTGCTAGGATGTGACAGTGCACTGCAACATATTTGATCTAATTAATTTTAGTCTAATTTTTATTTATTTATCATATTTATATTTTTAGTAGCTTGTGGAAGTGCGCTCCAAAATATTTGTTGATCTTCTTTATTGGTATTTATTATTTTGACATTATTTATTTAAATATATAATTTATTTAATTTATTTTTGTATTGGTTTTTCAGTTGAATTATACGTTCAGGGTAAGATACTGTTCAAATTATTATTTGTTTTAAAGTTCAATAAATGGATGTTTTCAAAGTCAATGAATAATCGGATTATCAATTATTGACCAAAATAATCGTGATTATGATTTTTGCCATAATCGAGCAGCCCTAATTTGCATATGTAGGTCAAATCAGGGCTGTGATTGGTTTAAAGTTAAACCTGATTTAGGTGAAATTGAATGTACTCAGGTACTGTACTTAAGTACAAGTTTATGGTACTTCTACTTCACTTGAGTATTTCAGTTCTTTGCTACTCTGTACTTGTACTCCACTACAGTTCAGAGGTGAATGGTGTACTTTAGTACCTTTAGTTACTTTACAGATCTGGATGAATGATGTGAAATATAATCAAGTGTTAAATCAGACTTTAGTTCCACCTGGAGTAAATTCACAAGCTACCCTGCAGTATACAAAGTCATTCAAACTAGCTGCTCCTTTACCAGCTTTGAGAACACTTTCATGATCAATCATTATAAAACATATCATATATATTATTCTGAAATGGACCAATCTGCACAATGACTACTTTTACTGTCACTACTTTAACGATATTTTGATGATAATACTTTCCTACTTTCACTCGAGGAACATTTTGAATGCAGGACTTTTACTGTAACAGAGTATTCCTACACTCTGGTACTTCTACTTTTACTCAAGGTCAAGATCTGAGTACTTCTACTTTTACTCAAGTACAATATCTGAGTACTTCTACTTTTACTAAAGTACAAGATCTGAGTACTTCTCCTTTTACTACAATATCTGAGTCCTTCTACATGTAGGCCTACTCAAGTACCAGATCTGAGTACTTCCCCCACCTCAGTATTTGATGCATTGTTATAAATATTATATAAAGTAAAATGTTTACCTTGTTTCAAATGTACTACACAGGCACGTGCTCACAATGCACAATTATTACTGTGATTATTTTTAAAAGAAGGTATCACATTCAACTTTAAATGAATCATGCTCACAATTCAGACCAGTAGACCCGAAGCAAACAGAGGAACGTTTCTTTGACTTTCGAAATAAAACGCTTCTCGTATTTCCTGTTTCTTCTCCTCGTGTTTTTAGTTTAGTTTTAAAGTTATTTTTCCCCGGATGAAGCGTTGAACACTCACCTGAGAGTCCGAGGCTGCTGCTGGTTCTCCGGGGGTCTTGTTGTCTTCCTCCATGCCCCTTTCAGTGCTCCTGCTCCCGCTCCGGCTGTGTGTGTGAAATAAACCCTGTGCTCCTCCTCCTTCAAATCTCGTGGAACCTGTGTTCACGTGATCAAATCTCGTTCTGTGTGCTGCGTCCAGGAACACGGGTTTTTCTTACTTTCTTATTTTATTGTTGTTTATTTATTTTTCTGTTGTTGATGAATCACGTCGTCACATTCTTTTTTTGCATGACTGAGTTTTTATTTATTTCTCAAACTCTTATTTCATCTTGATTCTGAAGAAGTTGTTTGATATGGTGATGCCATTAAAGCTCCTTTGAAATTGAATTTGTGTATTATTTTTGTATTAAAGGAGAGGTGTCATGCTTTTCCGGTTATTACCCGTCCCCTTGTGTGTTATGAAGGTTTGTATGCATGTAAACGGTGTCAAAGTACACCCTGTAGGGAGTAAAACTCTAACACAGAAAATACCTCCCCAAAACGCCTCGTTGGAGGAACGTCATTGTCCATTTGATTCGAAATGGACCAATCCGTGGAGCCGTTACGTTTCGTCCGCGGAGCCGTTACGTTAAGCCCCCGCTGATTGGTCCAAATTGACCAATCCACGGACTTCCTCACACACAGGCAGCTCTGCTGAATTCTCCTCCCTGGCTGCAGGCTGATAACAGACAGTTGGGATCCCAGCAAAATTCTCTCTGCAGACCCATTCTCTCTGCAGACCCATTCTCACAGCGTTTATCAACCTTTTTCTTACTCAATATCAAGCCACACTTATTGTTTTTACTTCGACTGTGAGTTTGTGTGTGCTCAGTATGAGTTTGGCTGTGTTTCGCTATGTATCCTAAACAAGGAAACAACACCTCCACGGAGCTCAGCGCGATTCACAACGTCCCGAACAATCAGAGCACACTGTGCTCACAGGGAGGGTGGGGGCTGGAGCTTTTAAATTGAAATTCAGTGAATACACGTAGTTTACAGAGATACTGGGTGTTTCTCAATCGCGAGTACGCTTGCTTGGTAGCACATGTCTGCCGAGCATCTTGCTTCAGAAGCGAGTCAAGAATACTTCCTGGCATTCGGAAAACAAAGAGTGGAACAGGCGAGCAAGTGTGCAGGTGTGCGTCATATGAGAGGCCCCGCCTTACATCTTCCGCCACAGATTTGGGAAAATTGGTCCGTGCGCAAAGCATTGTGGGGATTTTAAGACCGCGGAGTCTACTCATGTGCAGCCTCGATATTTCTCCAAACGGAGTACGCCGGGCTCGGTAGATTTCCAAGTATGCTGGAGATTGGAACAGTACTTCGGCGGCACTCGATGACGTAGTATGCTTGAAATAGTGGCTCTGAAGCAGCTTTACTCGCAATTGAGAAACACCCGCTGTATGAGAAACCAATGTGAGTTTGGAAAAATGCACAGTATAAATCTATTTTAGTATACCTCAACAATGGAATTATGATCAGTGGAAATGGCCATGACACCTCTCCTTTAATACAAAAGTGATTTACACTGGGATGCCACAACTTTATGAAATGACTAATGCTACAGCCAGGCTTTTGTTTTAGTAGAAAAAGGGGAAATATTGTCACCCCTAATGGTGAGTTCTGTAGTCAATAGACTTTAAAAGACTACATTTCCCACTGCGCCTGCCTTTTAAGAGACAGACATTATAACCGTTTAAGTTATATAATGCAAAGTTAAAGAAAGAAATTGTTTATTCTTTTATTTGAGTTTTGCATCATTGTTTGGATTTGTTGGACTGTTGTCAAGGCCTATTTTATATTGTAATTGAATTTATGATTATCTGAGAATTTAAATGCTATGACGTTACATATATAATATATAAATAATAATGTCTCATCACTCAGGTAAATGATCAGTCATGTGACCACACAGGGGATGACCAGTGATCATGGCTCTATTGCACTTTGATAGGGTCAGGGGTCAGTCATCTCATGAATAAGCGTATTCATTGTAACTGTATGAAAGCCCTCTCTTCAGTCTGAGTAGTTGCACTCGGCTGTGGAGACATTGCTCTCTGTATGCGGTGCGCCTCTTTTGCAAAACATGATTAAAGACTCAGAAGGACAACTCTTTGACTAGTTTATTTCAAGAATTTCCACCACAATATGTAGAAAGCTTTTCATTTTATATTGGTTAACCACGAGTCTCACAACATCAACAGAAGCCAAACAAGTCATCACAACAAGTCAATGAAAAGATAACGAGTTAGAGATGTCACTAAAAGTGGCTTGATGGAAACATCTGATTCTGTCTGGATCACCTTTTCAAAGCATATCATTTGTACAAAGAAAAATTAGCTTGAACCAATAAAAGTGAAACTAACAAAAAAGCTTATTTGCACAATTGAAAAACATGATATTAAATGTAAATATATAATGAACACACACACACGTCCCCTCTGTGGGACTAAAACAATCTGATTCTGATAAACGAAAATATGACTGTATTACTAAATAACCAATGCAACAAAAATAATGTTATAATGAGACAGCAGGAGGTGCAGCTGCAGAGGTTACATGCAGTTTATTTTCCCTTTAAGAGATAATAAATATGGAGTTAATGATCCTCTCTATCTCTACCTGCTCTGATCCACTGTCACACACACCTTCAGCGGTAATATCTTCACTTCCTCCACAGTGTTAATGTATGGAAACATCATCTCAGTGAAAGTGTGTGTGAAGGTGTGTATGTGTGTGTTAGTGTCAGGATCAGAGAACGACAACTTCCCTCTGTTCCAGTCCAGATCCACTCTGACCCTCTGGAGCTCCTTCTTCAGACGGAGACGATTGGGTGGATGTCTTCAGCTCTCAGCTCCTCCTCTGTGGCTCTGACTGTGTGTGAAAGAGCTGCTATCTCTCTGCTCACAGCCTCCATCTTCTCCTCCACCATCCTTCTCTTCCTCCCTCAGTGCAGCCATCCTGGCCTCCTCTTCCTCTTCTAGAAACTGGTGAAGCTTCTTAAACTGCTCCTTAATCTGCGTCTCTGTGCGTTGAGCCTGGACCTTCATGTGTCCTGCTGTTAGATCAAACTCCACTTTAACTTCTTCAAAGAGCTTCAGTTTCTCCTGAAAGGGCTGCAGAGACTTCTGGAGCTCCTCTCGGAGATCCTGAGCAGCTTCATCGATGGGTCTGAATCTGTGGTTGGTGTGTTTCTCTGAATCTCTGCAGACGACACACACTGGCTGCTGATGGTCCAGACAGAAGAGTCCGAGTTTCTCAGAGTGCAGACTGCAGAGAGCCTCTGAAGATCTCTGATCTCTCTCCAGTAAGAAGGTCTCACACAGGTTCTTTAAAGACAGGTTACAGGGAGGATGATCCATCAATGATCTTGTCTTACAGACTGGACACTCCTTTACTTCTTTCCCATCCCACCAGTTCTGCAGACAGGCTTTACAGAAGCTGTGGCAGCAGGACAGGATGACAGGATCTCTAAAGACTTCCTGACAGATCGGACAGCAGAGATCTTCCTCTAACCTGGAAGCCATGTTGTCTCTGAGTGAAGCTGAAACACAGCAGACAGGAAGTACAGTCAGTCACCGTCTGATCGTCTGATTCTCAGTCCGTCTGTCTCTCTGCAGTGAGGAAGAATAACAAAGTGTTTTCTGGTTAGTCTCTCTGTTCACCTGTAACACACAGGTGTGTCTCCTTCGACAAACACCTGCCACTCATCAGCCTCTGTAAACTGGTTTAACCTCATTTCATCTCTGCAGTACGGGACATTTTAACCCTAAAGTAGCTCATAGAGTATCATTCAGTTGTACAGTCTTAATGAAGCTTCTAAAGTGTAGCAGGACTTTCAGCTCCACAGAGGAATTACCTTAGTTTTTTGTGACTTGGAACATTAGCCGCTTTTAGCTTAGCTGTGGTGACGTGAAGTCATGTGACCGTGCTGTAGTTCCTTTATAGCCCAACCTTTACTTCAGAAATCATAAAGTGATTTTAATATGTGGAGATAATTCTGATGAATAAAATGTGTAAGTATCTTAAACGTTTGTTTAACATGATTATTTTCTGCAATAATCCAACGGAAAGATCCAATTGGTTTTTAATTGAGGAAACCAGGGCGATGCTGCTGGATTTAAAGGGGACCTATCATGCAAAATGCACTTTTGTGCGTCTTTTATACATGAATATGTGTCCCCGGTGTTCCAGGGAACTCACCAAGTGTCAGAAAACACAACCCTCTCTATTTTCCTCCATACCCAAATCTCTAAAAAAGGGGCTGCAACGGATCTGATAGAGACTGATCCAGATTTGAACACTTCTATGACGTCACAGAAGTGGCGCTACAGCTATTGGGCCAACTCTCCACCTATCAGGGGAATGTGGGGTTGGGCCATTGCCGCTCGAAAGCGCTGGAGACGCTGTAGTACATATGCCAGGCCTGTAAGTGGCCTGTAGTCTGCCACAAAAGCAGCGAAGAAGACTTCCCGCCCATAGTTACCATGGTTACCCTTCTGTTTATTCTCCGCTGTGGCTCTCTTTCTCCCTCCCCGAGGCAAGCGTTTGCTCCTGCTGCTTTAATTCAATGCAATCCCTCCCCGTCGAGGCAAGCACTGTAATTCTCTCCGGTTAGTCCACCAGCAGATGACAAACACCCACCTCTCCGCCTCTTCCAAGGAACGAGGGGACCGTGCGGCAGAGTTTCAGTTTCAGTTTCTTTCGCCGGTCAAGATGTCCGTTAAAGTTTAAATCTTCCGGACAAAATTAGAAAAGTGCCGGTCAAAGGTCTTCTTTGTTATTTATTGAGCTTTAAAACAAATGAATAACGACTCTATATAATAAAACACGGAGGACGGAGATCTCTTTTTCTCCCCCTCTTCTGACAGCCCAGCAGCTGATCAGAGCACGGCTCACCTCTCCTGCAGGGGGGCGTGGTCAGCAGAATCAGACCCGTAGACAGCAAACAGCACATAGAGCGAAATGAGGCATGGCTAAAATGCATGATCGGTTTGGTATTTTGAAAACAGAAACGTATAAATATACCTTATATAGGTATGGCCCTACAATATATAATTTAAATATAGCATGATAGGTTTCCTTTAA